AAGACGTGGACCGGGGCCAGGCTGAGGCTGGGGCGGCGGCCGGAGCCTCCCAGGGCCCAGAAAGCGGTTACCGGGTAGAGGTAGAGCACTGCTGCCACCAACGCCAACAAGAAGGTGACGGCGAAGATCGCGAAGTCCAACATGGTCTCCCGGCGGGAGCCACGTCTCGGCTCCCGGCGCGGCGGCGGCGCCTCAGCCTCGCGGGACCTGAGGCGCGAGCTTGTGCACTAGGCTCCCGCGGGCCGGGCGAGCGAATGGGCCCTGGGGGCGTGGCCAAGGCCCGGAGCTGCAACCCTGGGCGGGGGTGGGGAGGCCGCGACTTCAGGACACGCCCCCGGCCTCGGGACGGAGTTCTCGAGGGGAGCGGAGCCCGGGCTTCCGAACGGCGCGGGAGCTCCCGGCCTTCAGCCCCAACCGGCGCCTCTTCCAGCAGGCTGACGATGAAGCCTCTGGGGCGCAGGGGGTGCCTCCCGGGCTGCTGAGGGACTTACTGGAAAAAAATGTTTTTACTGTGCTTTTATTGATTCTTGATTTCAGGCAACTCTTTTGGCATCTATAGCAAACGTAACAAAACGTTGCTATATGAGATTTAATTAGGCAGAAATTCTACTTTTAACTCTCGTTCTCTGCCCACAGATGTGTTTCAAGTTTATTTTTCAATCTCTTCTTTGGAATTTTTTTAAAGTTTTTTTTTTTAATCATGAATGGATGGTTTATTTTTTATTTTTAGAGAGAGGATGGGGAGAGAGAAAAACATCAAGGTGAGAGAGAAACATGGATGGTTGCCCCCTGTACATGCCCCACCCAGGGATCAAGGCCGAAACCTGGTATGTGCCTTGACTGGGATCAAACCCGCCACCTTTTGGTGTATAAGACAATGCTTCAACCAACTGAGCCACACCAGGAACGGTTCAGTCTTTTCTTTGGATTTTGAAGACATTTCCCATCAAAAACATGTTCCAAATAGGTTTTCAAAACAGTAAATATCAGGTTTTTAAATGCATAATTTTGCATTTAGGGCTAGTAACTCTAGCCCTAGCCAGCATCCTCCAGGATATCTGCACTCACTCCCCCTGTAGTCCTAAATTGACCCTTTTAGTCCTAAAGTAGCCTGAGACCCCCCGAACTTTGAGAGTCTGTGAAAAAGGGACAGAAATTACGGAGGTTGAGCAAGGCACAGTATTTTAGAGATTGAGTCTCTAAACCTGTACAACAACCTCCTGTGTTCTTCAAATTTTTGCCTAAATGTTTCCTAAAAGTAATTTTGAAAAACCATATACATGTATATACTTTCACACATTTTTGTGTTGACATCTAAAATATTTACCTTCACTTTAAAGGATTAAATTTCTTATAAGAAATTTAATGTAAATATTCACATTCTGAAATTCTCTATTAAATGTAGAAAAAGGAATTTAAATACTGTAGTGATGTGATTGATGACTATCAAGCATTTTTTAAAATACATATCCTCTTTGTGAAGAGCTGGAATGGAATTCTTGCTGTTTTCTGTGCCCCGTTGGGGACTAGGACCTATTATGAAGAGCCCAGAGTTTGTGGGAATGGAAAGCACAAAGTCTCCCAGTGGATCATTAGGAGTGAAAGTCAGAGGTACTACTGTTACATCCACTCCCAGATCTATGTATTGTTCTAATTGGAGCCATAGAACCATATTAAAGGCTTTGACTTAATGAGAATAGTAAATCCTTAAGGATAGCACCTCATTCTTATAGAGCAACTGGTGTGCAGCAAGAATTTTTAAAACATGCAATATCTGATTAGTCAGGGACATTGACCTCTTTTCCCTTAGATTGTCAAATAAAAAATGACAACAGCCCAGTCAGTGTGAATGAATTAAAATTATACCTATTTTTTTGGTCGTATCTGCAAAAATCTTTGTTGTGCCACAGAATTTCAGTAATTAGTTTGTGTGTGTCATGAGATGAAAAAGGTTGAAAATCGCCGTTACAGAGTAATAGCCTCTAACCTGATGCTTCACCAACCTATTCCAGTGCTCTATCAGGATGACAGCTTGTGTGTGATGTATGTCATATGATCAGTGGATCCCACTGTCATGGGTTTCCTCCAACACCTCTTTACTATAAAGCGTATCCATTGGTCTGAAGTGATGTTATATGGGATACCTTGCCAGTGAATCATATACTCATAGTCCTTAAGATAATGGTGCTGGTTGAGGCCCTGTAGACAGAAAAGGCAAACCTACATAAAACACATGTCTGTTCTTGTGAGAATGAACCTCTAGCTCTTCCAGAATGGAAAGGGTGAAAAATAGCCAACTTCCCAGCAAGTTTGCCCATTGGTCTTGCTGAGGAATGATGCTCTATCAGCACTAAGCATTGCTTTTTGCTGCTGATAAATTGGACATTTAGTGGTGGCAGTAGCTAGAAGCCGCCTTGGTAAGTGGAGAGTTCATGCTGCCGAGCCCATGTAGTCTCCATTTCTGCGATTATGGGTACTTCTTTCCTGTACCCATTGTGCCAGCTCTGGAGCAGCCAAGGCAGAGACAACCTGACATGAACTGGATTGATTTGTCCACCTGATTGTTTAGTGCCTCTTTCACAGTAGGTGCTCTTTGTTGGCTGTTAATAGGTAATTAAAAGATTTTCATATTTCTTTCCCACTCCCATATGTCTATCTATATACCTATGTCCCAGACCTTTTTGTCCTCAATCTTAAATTTTTTTCCATTCATGCCTCTGACCAGTTGGCCAGGCCTTTCGTCACTGCCCATAATTCCATATATACTCACCTTGGGCCTCTTCTCTTTTCACCCTATGTGAATGACATGGTACACCACTGAAGATCTGCCCACTGAAATGGTTTTGACTTGCCACCATCTTTCAAGACTGCCCATAAATAAGGCTTCAATTCAGCTGCTACCCATTTTTACCTTTATCCACATACTAAGCCATCCCACTTATAAATCAAGCTTAGGCTTTTTTCTTTCCTCCATCTGATCATACAGGATCACCCAAAAAAACAAATGTGTTAGCTGAGGAAAGAGCACTGGTGTAACTGGTTGTTAGATCTGGTATACTTCAGATCTGCCTCTACGCTGTGGTCTGTGGTCTGATGAGACCTAGCTGACGATAGCCAGTGTTGAGAAACTGAGTTCTGGACATATCTTTCCAAGGATTTGTACAGCAAACCTAGGAAGGCAGAGATAGACTCCCTCTGGAATAGAAGGCAAGTCTGCTTATCAGTAATAATAAGGGCTCCCTCCAGGACTAAGGTCAGGCAGGTTTGCTTGCAGCCCACTCTAAAAGATTCAGCTTTCCTAAACTCAGATTCTTCGGCTGTGACATAAGATTTTGAAATGTAGTCTTATGATTTCTTCTATAAGTTTATAGTTGTAGGTTTTACATTTAGGTCTATAATTCACTTCAAGTTCGTTTGTAAAGGGGACATCATTTTTTTATATGGATGAGTTCTAGCACCATTTGTTGAAAAGACTGTTCTTTCCCACATTGAATTATTTTGGCACATTTGTAGACAATCAGTTCATTATGTCTGGGTGGATATATCTAAAGGGCTTCTATTTTCTTCCATCCAGCTACATCTCTCCCTATGTCTGGATTACTGTAGCTCTACAATAAGTCTGGAAGTCAGGGAGTGTGACCTTCCAACTCTGTTTTTCTTTTTCAAATTGTTTTGACTAATCTGGATCCTTTGCATTTCCATATAATGTTTAGAATCAGTTTTTCAGTTAGTTTCTTCAAATCTCATTTCGTTTTTCCTCAAAATTTCTCAACAATATTGTGTAGTCCTGCAAATATTTTATTACATTTACTAAGTATTTCATAGTTTTCAAATATATTGTTTTGAATCTCAAGTTTTTATTACTAGTGTATAGAACTCTAACCTTTTTGTATACTGACCTTGAATCCTGTGTCTATACTATGCTCATTTATTCGTTCCAATAGTGTGTGTGTGTGTATCTGAGGATTTTCTACATACACATCATGTTAACTGCAACAAATGACACTTTTATTGTTTCTTTTCCAATATGTGTTGTGGTTTTTTTTTGGGGGGG